TCACTACATCTTTTTGTTGGCTTGATTCAGGTACACACATGTAACTGAATCACAGAGCATGTTGATAAAGGTAGTAAGGTATGCTATGTGAAAAGTGGACGTTAGGAGTACCCTGTAGTTAGCGTCCTTTGGAATGGAGGAACAGCAAGTCCTCAGAATTATAAATACGCAACAGCTCATCAGGTGATTGGCCTATACAAAATATGGCTTTAGCACTACATGAAGCCCACAGCCACTAGTGGAAAGTGTCTGTTACTTTACAATATTAAATAGTTATACATTTATTTAGTTCTGCAGGTCTGTGTCAATATCACAAAATGACTACCATAATTTTGAAATTTCGTCTTCTCAAAACTTCCCACTGTATGTTGGGTGGTTGAGGGGCAAGAAGAGACACTGCCTCACAAAAATAAGACGACTAACTAGGGGTATTTCTTTCAAAGTCAAGAGTGCATCAGCCTGAGAAGTGAGGAACCAACAGTCTGCATACAAAACCAGATGGAAGTGGATCCAAGTTCTGGAATAAGACTGAAGCCTAGAACTGGGTGAACAATCAGAACATTATGCCAAAGTTTACAACTGGTGAACGCAAAAAAGAACAGCTCAACAATAACAGCCTCAGTAGGGATCTGGCTCTGCATTTCTACATTATGGTTTCCCATTAACTTAAATTTTGGTTTTATTGGGCAATTATCACTTTTTTTTAAAGCATTTACTTACTTAATACTTCTTTGCGTTCGGTTTTGAATGCTCAGATGAGACCATCAGGTGGGTTGCCTCTATGAACTTGCATGTCAGTAGCAGGTCTTTCATGGTTCCCCACAGCTTGCTCTGCACTCTTTGCTCTTGAGGCCAGGTGTCTTTTCGAAGTTGTACGTAGAGTGGGCAGATCTGCAGAATGTGTTCATGGTCCTGTTTGACGTGTGTCCATTCAGGTTTTTGATAACAGTAGTTGACATGTTCAAAGGTATGCAGTACTAGGTCACATTCTTCAGCCTTTCTGTCTATGCCTGGAATTGTTTTTGTGACTGTATAGTTAGGACTGTATGCCTAGATCATTTCCCATGTTGAGGGATCTTTAGAAAGGATGTCACTATTTTTTGTGTGGTAGTTTTGATAGATGATGAAAGCTACCCTGAGGCTCAGATATATGAAGAAACTTACTGGAACAAGCTGGGGAGAAGATGCACAACACTACAAGTATACACGGGATACGTATGACCAAAACTGGAGTATGGCGTGTGAGCATATTCCACTGCAGCCAAATCAAAACCTACATAAACTGGACAAAATACAGAAAACTGGTCTCAGAATCATCACTGGATGTATGAGAAGCACACTAACCATGAGCTGGAGGCAACTTCAGGCCTCCACAGCTTGAGCCTCCGAAGGAAAGACAAGGTGCTTACCCTAACAAACATTTTAAACGCATGAACAACCCCATGCACAGAATAGCAAACAACCTAAAAAAAAACCGTCTGCATGTAGGGCCTTGTAAATTTGAGCCGTGAACTGTTTAGGGAGCTTATTGATGAAAAGGATAAACAGGGTAGGATATGTAACACTTCCTTGGGGGACACCTTCTTGTAACCTGACCAGCTTGCTCTTGTGTTCTTCCAGTCTGACTCTCGCACAGCATCTGTAAAGAAAGTCTCTAATCCAGGTGAACATATGCCCTTTTATACCACTGTGTGCTGGTTTTGGCAAAAGTCCTTTCTTCCAGACCTTATCAAAGGCTTTGGTCAGGTACTTACCAAAAAACTATGTCAAAAAATGTAGGTCAATAGGTGAGTGCTTTGTTCTTAAAACTGATATAGCTGTTGCAATAACAGAAAAGTCCCCAGTAAATGTCTTCCTTTGGCTCATTATCCATCAATGGAGCATAGGCCCGCCGCCAATTTATCCTATCCTTTACTGTTGCATGCAGCTCACCTTATGAACTGCATGCATGTCACCTTATTGTCTCTTGGGATTTCTTTGACTCCATGTCATATCTGGTGCAAGGACATATATTGTTCATATGTTCAGTTTCGGTCCCAAAGCTGGGCTATCTTGGCCATGTTAAATATGGTGGCCTGGACAGAACTGTGATGGGGGTAGCTTTTGGACAGTGAGGTAGATCTCCGTGAAGTTGAATACAGAACATGCACTGGTTATGAAAACACAGAGACTTTCAGGTGTGCCGTAATGAGAGCAACATTCTGTAAAGGATCTGCCAATTGATGATTTTATTTTTAGTCAAAAGAAATGGTAAGGAAAAACTGCACTAAATCCCTATTCATCATCATCATCAGGTGCCTTGCCAGCTGGCGTGGGTGATCATGCCTCTCCACAATCTATGATCTCTTGTAGCATGTATCAGTTCTTGTGCCGACACACCTCCATGCCATGCAGCAAGACTGTCAAGAATCTTCTCTCGTTGTCTTCCTCTATCCCTTCTTCCACAGATCTTTCCAGTGGTCACATGTTCTGTTTTCCCTCTTCTCATAACATGGCCGAAAAATGACTGTTTCCTTCTGTCTGTGATAAGTTGTCTTCAGGCTCCCGCCTCTTTCAAAACCTCATGGTTGCTCTTTTTGGCTGTCCAAGGTATTCTAAGCATTCTGTAAAACCACATCTCTGAGACCTCAAGAAATTGTTTGGCCTGCCTACTGATTGTTCAGGATTCACAGCCATGTTAAAACTGGATGTATGTAGCAAGCAAGAATTCTTTTTCTAACTCTCAATGACAAGGGTATATTGCATTCAATGTTCATTTTATACAATGCAGTTTTTGCCTGTCCTATTCTGTTTCTTGTCTCAGTTATGCATCTTTCATCTGATGTTATCAATGTGCCCAGATACTTAAATTTCTGTACTTGTCCCAAAATAACACCGACTTTTATGACACATTTAGGAATAATTTGTTTCTTTAAATCCCTATTATCCCTTAAAAATAACCTTTAAACATTTTGTTAAAAAGAAACGCACACATCCTATTTTCCAAAACTCTACCTAATAAACCAGAGGGAGAGAAGAAGCAGCAGCGGAAATTGGTCCATTTTTATTTTTTTAAATCCAGGAGCGTGAAACCAATGACCACCGAGCAGGCAGCCAATCCAGTTAGCTCCTGCACCCTTATGAACCGCAAGTCACTAAAAAAGATTACTTTTTCATATTTAGAGTCATTATTTTGCACAAAGGTGATTTTATTTTAATATGAATACTAACAATAAACAGAGCCAAGAAGTAACTGCCTTCCTGCCCTTTGGACTAAGAAAACATGGATTTGTTGCACGGCCGGACAGAAAAGCGACAAACATCATAAGTTTATTATGATGTCACACACACAAAATCGATTTTCTCCCCAAATAAAATCTCCAAAAAAAATAATGTTTTGTAAATATAACTATACCCTCCACATCACACCATGCCGATGCAACCAGTGGCAAATCTGTTCTATAGGTGTAAAGACGTGTCAACAACCAATTAAAGTCTGCAAACCAGCTTTCTCAGGAGAGGGTTAACAAGTCACAACAAAGCAAAATATGTTTTATGATCAATGTTTATTGTGGAGATATCTAAGAATAACTGTTAGTTTCACCTGTTAAGTACATCAGCTGCCTAGTGATCTGGTAACAAATTATATTCTGTTAACTAAATTAATCAGAAACTGTTGGATGCTCACAATAAAGCAATATCATTTATAAATGTTCAGGTACACCTTTTATGACAAACTGCAAAACAATGAAAACAGCAAATATTAACAGGAAGAAAGGAAATAATACATTGTGCTAAGACTATAAAAATTCAGTTAACATCAGCACTGAGGTAAAGAAGATACAGTGGAGAAAAGAAAAACAATGAAAAAAATTTGTCAGATCTGCAATCAGAATATGTAAATGAAACAGCATGAGAAAATCTGCAGACAATACAATGTCATACAGCACTTCTTAATCTAATAGAAAACAAATGGCAGATACCGCAACAAGTAAATTACTGCAAGATTACACCTTCTAGTGTTGAAAATATAGAATTTTGGTCAATTAAAATCGTGGTGCAGTAAACCTGGTCAGCTTAGGTTGAAAGCAATCAGCCATGTCGTTCAGGCTCCTGCATGGACAATCACGAACTGTGAGAGAGATGATTTTAGCTTAGTAATAATGATGAAAGAATCAATTGGAAGTTAGCCAACAAAATATACTTTGAGAAGCCTCCTTTGCACATAAGATGGATCAGTGAACTTGTCTGCAATATCGAGAACCCACATCCTTTTTTTTTTAATTATAACTTAGCAAAATGTAAAACAGGATACTGATCACATGATGTAAGACAGTCATATTAATGAGACCATTCTACTCGGATCTATACAAAAGCATCATAGATCAGAGACAAGTAAAGTAACAAACATATGGGAAAGTGTCACCATACACTGATATTACAGGGTGGGTATAAACATCTACAGGTTAAACAGATATACCACCACAGCGACTGACAGAAATTTAGAAAATATATGTAACAAGTCGAATCTAAATTTCAATGAACTGAGTCCAACAGAAATCACCCATGTGGGAATGAAGTACTTACTTGAAAGGACTAAATTATTTGTACATATTTTTTTTTGCAATCTCCAAGTCCACATGATATTTAGGAAGAAAGAACAATATATTCACACTTTTGGCGATGCAAATTCACACTACTACACCAGAAATAGGAGGGAACACAATATCCCCACTACTACACCAGAAATAGGAGGGAACACAATATCCCCACTACTACACCAGAAATAGGAGGGAACACAATATCCCCACTACTACACCAGAAATAGGAGGGAACACAATATCCCCACTACTACACCAGAAATAGGAGGGAACACAATATCCCCACTACTACACCAGAAATAGGAGGGAACACAATATCCCCACTACTACACCAGAAATAGGACAGAACAACACATTCACACTATTACAGCAGAAATAGGACACCAGAAAGAACAATCTATATTTCAGTAAGATTATAAATTAAGAGGAAGACAAACCAAGCATGCTAAAAAAAAATACAACAGCGGATTTAAAATTAAAGTTACCATAAGAAATGAGACAATCATGGTGAGATTTTGACCAATGAAGGTGTCTGTATTTTTCTTAAAGAAATATAAATTATTTCTTCATAAAATAATCATTTTCCCTTGTGTATATGTAAAACTTAAACATTGTTTAACACTGTTGAGTTGATTATGGGGTCAAGCTCTGATGTAATAAAGAAAGTTGGTCTGGACAGGTTTTGAAGTACCGATACAGCAAGTGCATTACTGTATTGAAGTTAGCAGGAGACAAGAAATAATGGAATATGTGCAACAGTATATGGTGTTCAGATATGTCAGTTATAAACTGATGGCACTCCAACTTGATAATTATCTTGGGTCGCAGACTGTTTGGTGCCACATGCACAGAACAGGAAACAATGATGACTACTCAAGATGGGCCATACAAAATGAAACAGATGGGCTTGTCCCTGGCATACTTCCCAGACGCAGATAAGATAGAAGGCACACTGAATAGGACTGTTACTGGGGATGAATCATAGCTGCATCAATACAATCCTGAATTCCACCATGCTTCAATGAATCAGGAACATCCTACTTCACCTTCATCCCAAGATATTCAGTTTAAATATCAGCAGAGGAAAGGCAAGACGAACATATAATCAGACTGCTACTTGCCCCAATATAGTATTGGAACTGTGCTGGCTGCTAAAGATGGCGGAAGGAGAGCTTACGGTAATGCCCTGAGTGTTGTGATGTCGGTTCTTGAATCAAATCAGATAACATGTGTCTGATTCTTTAGCATCTGTATTACAGCCCTGCTTTAGCCACTGAATGATGCTTACTTGTTTGATGAAGTAAATGCCCCAACTGCTGGTAAAAGTTTTACAGATTGCGCAATGGTTGAACATGAGGTGTGAATGCTGATGGGACAGCAGAGGCTCCTACTTCTGTGCCGTCAGTTTCAAAGAGCTAATACAACAGTTAGTAGTAGTTGAGATTTACTCCATCTAGTGTACTTTGGACACATTTACTTACTCACTAAAAAAACATAAGTAGTTTCTGTAATTATTTCACCGAAATTGTACTTTCAAGGCATCACAGATGTTTCTACTGTAAATCACAAAGGCAAAAACTCCATTTTAAACATCTTTTTTAGAATTGTGGCTCCAATGCATAGCATTATTTCCTTAATTTACACAAATTAAAATACACTCAAAGTCTTCATTCTGCTTCATTCAAAATCCATGCGCCAGGAAGAGATATCCCACACGAGCCACTTATGGAGGCCCCGTAGAGCTTGAGGTTGACTCATACGATGTGCCATCACTGTGGAGATTACTGGGCGTGAGTTGAAACTCTCTTGACACTTCACCTGGATGGTGCAATGATGAAATCATTTGGGGATCGCTGGAACCAACCATGCCAGTTTGGAATAATGCATGGCGTTTGGCATGCTTTTTAAGGTGGTCACTTCTCATGAATCTCTTCTCACACATTGGACACCTGAAGTTCTTTTCTCCTGAAAAATATTATTGAGAATGTGTTGTAATGAGAAGTAAATAAGTGGTTATAAACATGCAGCAACAAAAAAGTTTATGAACTTATTTTAAAACAACCAAAGAGCTAGATAATATCTTTGTCAAAAAAACTATTTAAAAAAAATCTAGAACTTTATGCTATTAGAAATGTGTGCATAGATGAGAATAGAAGTAGAACAAAGCACTTATGGATTACACCCACATGCCATGATGTTGATCCGCTGAATAAACATAGATCACTAAAATAATACAGCAGACAGTGATCTGCGGGCCACTTGCTAGGCAGTGCCGGCTGCTAGTTGATCTGCCATGTTCTAGGACATAACCAGGTATCTATTTTAGGCTGGGTCGACCTGGGAGTCAAGTATCCAGGCACAGGACTACCATGGCTCGCACCTAAAATTAACAGTGAATTAACTAACATGTCAACTAAGCAACATCCTTGAGTTTCCAAAAAGAGAGGGACAGAATCCAAGCAGTCTGTAAGTCAGTAAGATTACAGGAAAAATAGACATGCTAAGTTTGATGTAAACCTCCCTGTTATGCCATAACTGATTTTCTCCTTTGTCCAACTAGTAACATGTGAAATAACCAGTGCACGACACTCACCTGTATGTGTCCGCTTGTGGCGTGTCAACTCATCAGATCTAGCAAATCTCTTCTCACACCCTTCCCAGTTACATTCAAATGGGCGCTCCCCTGAAAACAAGACATTTAATCTGCATTATTTTTAAAAAATCATAATTTTAATTTTGCAGCACAACAGATCATCATCCCATTCAGCTGCCTGGCAAAAAGTTCTGGTTGCTCATCCATTTCTGTTATATGCTGACGAAGGCTTTCTAGCCGAAACATTCATTTTGTCATTCGTAATTGTGGTATGTTTGATATTTATTTTACAAGTTGTGTACCATCATAGGCATGATCAGGGAAGTGAATGCGCTTGGTGTAACATTAACTATATCACCTATCCAGTGCCGATCTGTCCCTGAAAAAAAACTGTGGCTGCCACCAGTGTTAAGTCGCAAAGCATATAAAAAGCATTTTGTTGTTTCTTTAAAGTCTGTGCGCTGAGATATGACTAACACAGCTGACTAAACTGTTTACTTTTGTCAGCCACATATATATTTTGAAAGCTGTAATAAGAAAGTATTCTGCGTTTGCCCTTAAGGAGGTTGTGTTTTAATTTACAGCTAGACTGTGATATCTGCATCTTTTGACCCAACAGACGCCATTAATGTCTATTAGGGGGCAGTGGGTCTAATCTTTCGGCCCTGAAAATGGGGTACCGGAATCTACTTGGGGAATAAGGAAAAATGAAATAAATATTATATAAACTATATATATATATATATATATATATATATATATATATATATATATATATATATATATATATATATATATTATATATATATATATTTATATATATTTATGAAACAATACTCATAATGCAACCATCTGAAATAGAGGCTTAGGTACCTTCCTTAAGAAATGAAGCTTTACAAAGATGGGGATATTGACCCCATGCTTCAAGAGCTAATAGACTAAAATGGCTGGGGTATATTTAGAGAATATCAGATGATAGAGGGGTAAAAACTATACACAAGGGATCTGAATGGTCGTAGATCACGAGGCAGACCAAGGAGATAGAGAGATAATGTCCAGACAGACCTGCTACACAATTGGTGCCACTAACTGGAAAGAGAAGGTAAACCAGAGAGATGAGGAAGCGAATGACATCCGCAGCAATGAACTTCAAGGGCTCTGAATGCAACCGATACGGTTTGATTTGAGCAAACTGGTTTGCAGCAACAATAATGAGAACCTCTGATAATAGGCGTACGCGCAAAATTCCCCAAGTGCAAATGTGATTTCTACCTAAAAGAACAGTGAAAGTTTCGCACTGTTCTACTGTAAACCTCAAACAAAGAACAGAACTGGCGAAAAGAACACGCAAGAGTACGTGGTATGCACGTGTGTGCTAGGCATAATTTGCATATACGCCCTTTGATGTCTGCTGGGTCAAACAGAGCATCTATCGTGTAGTCGCTAAGGTAACGGAACTGACAGTCACACAATAAGTTCCCAGAAAAACTTTGATTGGTCATAAGAGGAAATATGTAGCAGAATAGACAGTATAAGGAAGGGAAGAGCGGAGAGTGAACTTTGCTATGGTATGTGTGCACTCACGGAGGAGCTAAACTCGCAAAAATAAACAGGAAAAAAATGGATATACTATTTGCCCGCCCCTCAAACTATGCCAACAGGAAATCACAACTACAGGAACAAAGAGGCTGCCAAAAGTTACCGTGGGACACAGGCAAGGCAGGGAAGATATTGGAGTTCATTGTGCGGGCTATTTTTAGAGGCAGGTAAAAAGCCGCTGTTGTCTTGCGGATTTGAATACAGCTGAGGGAACGGCGCGTAGGGGCGGGGTTGTTGCACTAGAAGTCAATGGAAACCTCGTAGCCAATATCTGAGAAGTTAGCAGACTTCGTGTATTGTGGCATAAACACAAGTTAGTTTCGCTTGTTTATAAACGGTCAAATTCAACTGTTACTCTTTATCGTGTCCCGTGACCTTGATTATTACTGAGTGATTTTGAAAGAAATCAACTGCTATTATAATCACCCCCCCCCCCCCCCCCCAGGATGCGAATCAAACCCAATTCACCCCGTGTAGGTTCCGGGGTCCTGTTATAGGAAAAACAATAACAGACCCACTGATTACCCAAAAGCATGTCGTAAGAGTCGACTAATTGGGAGCTTCCTTCAAAGTTCGGACTACATCTGCCTGAGAGGCAAGGAGTCTGCATTCAAATAAATCAGATCTGTAAAACGGATGCACACGCAACACTCAGAGTTTACAGCTAGTGAACGCGAAAAAAGAAGACACCCTATTCAACCGTACAACAGGTTATATTAGGTCACCTCTAATGTTAGAAAGTAACCGGCAGTGAATCTCCACCCCCCCCCCCCCCCCCTTTTTTTTTTCCGTGTCCTCTCCCATGTTGCTATAGTTACCCACTGTGAGACGCATAGTTGTTTCCCCTTTTCTTGTCATCTTCAACAGCGTTCATTTAGTCAACTCGCAAGACCCATATTTAAAACAAATGTGTCCTAATTGGTTTAGACCGTGGCCGTCTCAACAGCATTGTGAGCGTCTGGGCAGGCCAGTGTGTTGGAGACCTGACAGCAACCATTCGCAGGAATGAAATTGTTATTTAAGCCACCTTACATTTAAATAGTATGGGGTCCCATGGTAAGTGCCCAGCGGGTACTTAGTTAAGACGGCCCTGATTTAGGCCACTAGATATATGTATATATATCCAGGGTGACATCTATATGCAACACCTGTCCCAGCTACCGCTTTCTGTCTATTTCGCTATTTCGACAGGCAACGCCCACTCTCGTACGGAGTCTAGTTCAAAACAAAAGCAAACTCAGAAAACAAAAACACGGTATTTGTCTAATCCCATCAGACAGCGGTAATCATGTCAAGAGGGTACAATCTGGCACCATGCCACAGCTGTAAACGCCTTACTGGGTCTGTAGAAGTCACATCTGCAACAGGTCTCTTATATATCTCTTACACGACAGAACATGTGGTACGGTATTGTGTACTCCCACTGGTGTCGGCAGCGGTGTGCAAGGGAACCAGCTCCAACCCCTCGGCCACCCGAAACAACACTTCAGCCAACACAGTGTGACAGACACACCATGGGCGCGGAAACATTAGAAATGCATATTTCACGACTGCCATGCCTCCTGCAAACGTTTAGATTGTGACAACTGTTTTATCTTTTTTATATTACATGATAATGGTAATGCTAAATTTTTTTTTTCGAGGTGCTCACATTCTGAAATAAAGTAAATTAGGACAAATGACAGTACCCCTAAAGTTCTTAGATATGATACAACCAGTTAAATGTAAAGGTTGATAATGGCGGTTTTATAGACAGAAAGGTCAACTGTGTAACTGTGTAGACATCAAACATCGTTCACTGTTTACGGTATTCATACTGCCATGGGCAGTAATTTTCTCCATTTAAGACTATTTTCTTTATCCCACTTAGTCACTACAACTTTGATTCATCGTTACATGGCCAAACTGTGGATCCTGCTTTTGTCTTGTCTTCCCTTTGCTGCCAAATGAAATACATTTGTGACGGTTGGATAGAACAAGTAAAAAGCTTAACAGACAGGGAATCGCAGTAATCAGAAATAAGAAATAAGGGCATGGTAAAAAGCACCGCCAACTCTAGATTTATAGATAAACATGGCCGTGGTAAAAAAGAGAGTGGGAATGGTCAAAATGAAATGCAACATTCAGAGACACAGATAACAGTTCCCCCGTGTGGGTTCCGGGGCCCCATTGTAGGGAAAACAAGAATAGACCCACTGCCTCCCCAAAAGCATGTCGTAAGAGTCGACTAATTGGGAAGCTTCCTTTGAAGTCGGAGTGCATCTGCCGGAGAGGCAAGGAACCAACAGTCTGTATTCAAGAGAATGAGATCTGTAAAACTGATGCACACGCAACACTCAGGTTCTGGAGCAGGACTGCAGTTCAGTAGTGGACGAGCAACCAGAACCTTCCGCCAGAGTTTACAGCTGGTGAACGTGAAGAAGAAGAAGAAGATAACAGTTAACTGACAATGTGCACACGGCACTGTAAAAATGAAATCCGACTGACTGAAAGGCGGCATCACCCAACTGAAAGGCACATCAATGCAATCCACAAATACTGACAAGGTTGTTTCAATATTAATGACAATTCTCTTGGTGTAGTTTAGCACAGCAGAGGCAATCACTGTAATTCAACCTCACTGAAACATGGGTTTAAAAAAAGCGCGGGGGAGGGGGGGGGGGAGTAAGTGTGACACCTATAAATCAAATAATAAAACATGCTTCATTTTCTTATAGTGACTGTAGGAACCGAGAACCAGGCAACCATTTGGTAGCAGAAGTTGCATTGTCTGCTGTTTCATTTAAAGTGAACAAGGTGGTCGAAAACAAAGTTCAACAACGCCCCCCCCCCCCCCCCAAGATATTATTTAAATAATCTTGGAGATAGGGTCACGCCTATAGTCACGAACTTTTGGATTTAACAAATATCCATTTATTAAAATGTTTCAAATACAGCAGGAATGCGTAGAAAGTAGAACTGCAGACTGTGTTTACCCCACTTAGATTTTTTTTTTTCGCAGTGTTTTAAGTCATTTACGTACAACTAATGCTTCATTCTATCAGACAATCCCAACCCACTATCCAATACAAATACTGAAGTAAACAAGAACAAGTTGCCAGACAAGACAACATGGGATTCGCTGGCTCCGCAACAAAGCAAGTCTCAAGGTTGTCAAAACAGCTGCCGTCTGCAATCACCACCCGGCGGGAGAAAGGTAACGGGCACGAACGTGTAGTCAACACGTTGGGTGTGGAGAGACTGTTTTCAGCCGGAGGTAACTACACAGTGAAGGTCACTGCATGATCTTGTAGAAGGTTCTTTGTTATTAGAATGAGTATAACAAGACGATAATATGCGATCAGGCGCGGCTGACCTAAGAAACCTAAAAAAAATTGCAGCTGGGGGGGGGGGGGGGCGTAAAGACGCCCACTTCCAGTAGGTTTCTACGCCCTCAGATCGCGCTACACTATCGTTCTAGGCAAATACTAACAATTGTTTGCAGTATTCATACTGCCATGGTCAGAATTAGCTTCTCTGTTACTTATGACCAGTATTTAAAAAAAAAAACATCAGTTTAAAAATAGGGGACAGAGTGTTACTTTAACAATTTATACAACCAAGTATTCATTTATGTAAAATTTATATGAGGGGGTCTTTCAGTACCCCATTAAAAATTAATTATGGCTCAAAGTACCAGACTCCGCAGATTGCGGCGCCTATGTGGCAGACATCATCTGTTGTCTATTAGTATGAAAACATGGGTGTAAATGAGAGAGGGGTGGTAGAGGACTGACATCGTCTTCTTCTTCTGCGGAGCAAATGTTTGTGGTTTATGGCCACAGACACCGTGCTCCTCCTCTGGGTTGTGACAGTCTAGCGTGTAGTTTACAGACAGTTCCCAAATGGCATGGCACCTGTCAGATTTTTATAAATGTGTGGACCACGTGGGGGAACATCAAAACTAGCCACGCCCGCCTACTTATTCATATCAATATTTATGTTCCCGTGGTTCAAACCGTAACATAAAAAAGCGCGCCATGTTACATAAGACGTAAAAATATTCTACTTAACTATCACACGTTAAAATAAAATTGTTAACGAATATTCTTTACAAAGTTAAATGTAAGTCACTAGATATGACTACCAATTTTATTTACAATCCTTTACTAATTTTATTAATAATTACATAATTTTTTTTTTTTTTTGAGTTGAGTTGAAAATTAAAAAAAAAAAAACGAGGTGTGCAAACAATAAGACATTCCTGTTCGACTAGCCTGCATGTTAAAAAAAACGGGGCCAAACAAAGAAAATGGCGCGGTTGATGAAAATAGTAACAGCTGTTCTAGCAGTTAGCAAAGGTTACCTTCAACTCAACTTACCTGTGTGGGTTCTGATGTGAGACTTCAAGTGAGAACTTTTGTTATATGATTTGCCACAACCTTGGTGTGTACAGGTGTGAACTTTCTTTCCAAGAATGCTGCTTGCCTTTGTAAATGCGCCGTTTAGAAGTTTTTTAGTGTGATGAGTAGGCGTGGCCGTTCTCCGTTTTGCACTTGACGTAATTTCAAATGTTGCTACAGAGCTGGCTCCTGAATTGGTAATACTGAAATCGTCGTGATAGTTATTGTCTTGTTTGATTGATTTAAGATCTGCCAAAATCCTGGCCACCATACAGGCGTTGAGACTGTCAGTGATGGGCAAATAATCAGAACAGCGCTCCAAATGGCCTTGATTCTCTTCTTCCATATACTCCTGCTTCATCGTGGCTTCGATGTGTCTGCTGAAACTAACCTGATTATCTTTAGGAGAGGCACAAGTCAGCACATATGTGTGATCATTCTGGCTTTTCGACATAGCAATTAAACAATCAGCAGCCATTCTGGTGTCGAGGTCCAATTCGAAAAACATCTGGTTCTTTTCACGCAAGGCCATGTTTGATTGTTTGTTGTGACGTTCCACTACCTATCATTTAAAAACTACAACAGGGCAGCTACATATAATACACAGCTCGATCGAAGTTTATGTTGAAGATAAACGAAATTCACTCAATATCAACACTTCACTGTGCCTAGAAAGACAAATTTATCCTCACAAACTCAACACAATGGCACAGAGTGGGCAGCTAGCGTCTTCTATCACCGCGTGTTAGATCCTCACTATGGGCGTGGACGGTCGGAACCGTAGAAACAGGAAATGACGAACCGAATTTTTTAAAGCTCTTTCATTGGGTGCTATTTTAAACACACCACCTAATTTGTGGTTGGGTGGGAGAAAGGAATACCCCTCGTGTTCAGCGGCCTGAATCCCTCTTTGTTCATTTGATTGAGTCGTCGCTCTCATTGCTTAGTGTACATCTTTACTATCATTGTCAAGTACTTTCCCGACTGGCGTGGGCGACTTCGTCTTTTTAGATCCTTCACGTTATTTAGAAAAAAAAAAAAAAAAAAGGATGAAAACTACTCATACAGCAGAATAACAGATACTCCTTTAATATACACATGTAAAATGATATTCTTGTTTCTGTAACTACAGTGTGCTTTAACCCGCTTTGGTGACTTAAGCGCTACGAACTCGCTTCGTAATTCCAAAGTATCCGGTCCGATTCTGGCTGCGAATTATTTGACAGCAAACTGCTTTACGTTTATAGCATCATGAACCTTTGGCAAAGCACCTGTACATTAGTTGAAGTAAAAATCTTGAGATCATGCATTTTTCATGTGGCAACTTACATCTGTGAGTCCTGGGCTCTCACTCAATCACTGAAGACAAAGATTGGAGCTTTCGAATTGAAATGTTACAGAAAAATTCTCAGAATACCATGGATCAGGAGGAGGAATAACATTGACATTATGCACGAGTTAAACATCAAAGAGAACTGGCTCATAAACAGCATCCTGTCCAGAAAGTTGAAGTATTTTGGCCACATCAAACGTTACGGTCGCTTGGAAAAGAGGGTGATGGACGGTGCGGTTTGTGGAAAGCGAGGAGGGGTCGACCTTCGCGAAGATGGTACATGACATTGAAGATGCACTGGCACTGAAAGCGCATGTGGCTAGAGAGCTGGGTAGGGAAAGGGATGCTTTCAGGCGTGCCGTAAGGAGTGCGACGTTCTGAAAAGGACTTTGCTGATTGATGAAATTATTCATGTCGTCTGCGAACCGGCATGTGCCTGCGACATGTTCCTGATTGCCGGTCAACAATGTTTTCCCAATCACGTGACAGCTATAGCAGAAACCAAACTGAGAAATCAAGTGGATATTTTCGCAGCACTTTGTCTTTCAAAAACAGCACTGCCGTCTTGACCTACAGGCATTAGATGTCACATTAGCTAACAATTCTTCGTCTTCTGCTTCCTCGTAGTTCTCCTCCTCCTCTTTTTCGTTTCCGTCTTCTACTGCTGCTTCTTTTTCTTCGTCTTCTTCTGCTTCGTCTTCTTCTCTTTTCTTCTTATGATTATTCTGAATATTTTTTTATTATTATTTCTATTGAGATGTTTTAAAATCAGTTCACATTTTTAGCGATGCGTGGTGATTATTTTGAAAGCATATTCCCTACTTAATAAAAAAATCCGTAACTTATGGGAGACTAATGCAGGATTAGACCACCTGCAAGTAAAACGTACATATAATGGCATCCGTCAGTCCCGGGGGACTATGGAGATGTGCCGCTGGCTTTGGGAGCAGCATCTGCTGTACTGTAAAGTCCGATGCGGGAATGGCAGTCTTTGCCACACAGGATACACACAAAAGCAGATACTCCCTTGTTGTGAGGCAGTTTTACTCTCCGGTGTCTCCTCTCCACAGCTCCTTGTGTTCGGTTTCTTTCAAAATGTGACAGTCCGTCTTTCACTTTCTGTGTCCATAGTAGTCGATCTGCAGCTGATTTTTCCCATGTCTCTGTGCCTATGTTGGTAACTATTAGGTCACGTTTGCATACATCTTTATAGCGCAGCTTTTACCTTCCTGTAGGTCTATTCCCAGTTACCAATTCACCATATAGGAGATCTTTTGGAATACGACCATCCTCCATGCGGGAGACATGTCCCAGCCAGCGCAGACGTACATAAGACGCATGCAATTTGATGTTTTGAAAAGTTGCCCTTACTGAAAGCTTACTGACTGTTTGCTTCGAATTGGTGTAGGTTTTTTTTTTCTTTTCTTTTCTCATATACAACAAATGAGGCAAAATGAGAACTAAAATGTCTGTTTACATTAAAAACAATACTTACAAAGACATAATTATTAACAAGCTGAATGCTAAATAGCAGTCTATAAATTCAAATATCTAGGAACAATTATATCATCAGATGGAAAATTTGTGACAGTGATTAAAAGCATAATTGGTCAACCAAAAGCTGCATTTCAGAAAATAAAAAATATCTTATGCAATACATCGCTCTCATTTAATGTCAGAAAGAGGGTGCTAAAATGTTACATAGAACCTGTTCTGCTGTATGACAGCGAATCATGGAATGTCAGTGTACAAATTAAGAAGAATTTGGAAGCAACAGAGATGTGGTTTCTGAGACGAATGTTACGAATACCTTGGACGGCCAGAGTAACAACGATAGCTTGAAAGAAACTAATGACAGTAGATTTCTATATGCAACAATAAGAAAGAGACAAACACTGTTCTTTGGTCATGTAATGAGAAGAGAGACATTGGAGAACATCGTGACAGCTGGAAAGATCAGTGGGAAAAGAGGTAAGGCAGACCAAGAAAGATGATGCTGGATGGGCTGAATCGATGGCATAGAGGGATATCATCGAGAGAGCTGTTTCAGGCAACCAGGGATCGTGATCTGTGGAGATGCATGAGCACCTACGCCAGTCGGCAGGGCACATGTTGACGATGATGATGCATGCCAAATATCAACAATTTACACCGAACAGTTACTGAGTTACACATTTTTAAAGTTCCGCAGGACTTTTGGAATGCACCAAAGGTAAATAATATTTGACGCAATACAGACCAAATTATTTCACATACCCCGGTAGGTCATGGGGGAAAATGCGGGCCTACACTAGATTCTCAATATGTACACACAACATTTGCCAGATTGATGTTTTCACTATAATGTGCTGGTGCGTTTTTTTTTTTTTTCTACACTTTGGCCTGCTTTATTTGTACTTTGTGGCCCTTACACATGCGCAATAAGCTAATGTTATGACGTATGCCTGCAAGCATGGGAATGTGAACTGCTAGAATTAGCTTAAATTAGTGTGAGATCCCTTTACATTGGATTTATAGATTAAGAAAAAGCATTTGACAGCATTGATAGGGAATCTCTCTGGAAATTGATGGGGCACTATGGAGTCCCACAGAAAATTATTAACTTAGTAAAGGCAACATATAAAGACATGAAATGTCGAGTTCTTCATGAGAGAAGGCTAACGTATACATTTGAAATAAAAACAGGTGTGCGACAGGGATGCCTTTTGTCGCCTCTCTTATTTTTACTGGCTATAGACTGGATTATGTCAACAGTAACTGCTAACACCAAGAATGGAATTCAGTGGACCCCTACAAAACAGCTTGATGATCTGGACTTCGCTGATCATATTTCTCCTCTGTCCCATTCACGGAATCAGATGCAAGATAAATTAAATATACTAGATGCGAGATCACAGCAGCTTGGTCTGAAAATCCATAAAGGAAAGAAAAAGATAATGAGAATAAATCAGTCAAATAGTAATGTGGTTTCCCTTAATGGCACCCCACTCCAAGACGTGGAGTCGTACACCTATTTGGGCAGTAATGTAGATAAAGATGGAGGAACTGATATATATATAAAAATAATAATACAAAAGGCAAGAGGAGCTTTCATAGAACTAGGGAATTTGTGGAGGTCAAAACAAATTAAAAGAAATACTAAACTAAAAATTTTTAATTACTAATGTCAAATCAGTACTTTTGTATGGGGCGGAAACTATGAGAACAACTAAGGCAATTAATAATAAACTACAAACATTCATTAACTTAATAGAAGAAATTAAGTGGTATGATAGAATAACTAATGTAGAGCTTTGGGAGAGAACTATACAGGCTCCGGTGGACCAAGAGGTGAGGAAAAGACGCTGGCGTTGGATAGGACACACACTGAGAAAACAGGAGAACAGCATAACTAGAATGTCTTTGCATTGGATCCCACAGGAGCATATGAATAAAGGAAGGACCAAAAAAAAAAACACATGGAGAAGAGAGCTGGAGAATGAAGTTAGAAAGATTGGGAGGCCATGGGGAGAGCTCCATGCAATGGCGAAGGATAGAACGACTTGGCTGTGAGTTGGTTGAGGGCCTATGCTCCTTTGGGGAATAGAAAGGCAGAAGAGAGAGACAGTGTGAGATCCTAAATTTCCATATATGTGAACTGTTAAGTGAATTGAATGTTGAATTTGGAATTAGGATTCGACATCATAGCACTCGGGACACTCCCATAAGTGCTCTGCCCTGTCTTCAGCAGCAAGCGAGGAGTTCCAATTCCGATTGTACCAGTAACTATTTGATTGTTTATCCGTCTCGCCTTTCACTTGAGCGTTGAGCGTCGGCCAGATCCCCTGGTAACTCCTTGCAGCATTCTCCTCAGACCGTAAAATATATATTGTGCCTCTGCACTGTTCACTCACTACCAAAAAGTTCTTAAAACCTCTAGCTTGTCATACATGTATGAGTACCTACGTAAAAATTACACCCCTGAAACAAACGAAAAGTACGCGCAACGAACTCACCGCCTTCAGCGTGCCAGACAAAAGGCTTAACCACTTAGCCACAGAGATACTGCGTACCATTCCTCGTAAATTCTCAAGTAGGTATATGTAATAGAAATGAAATAGATATGTAATAGGATTGTAATCTATAATACAAAACTTCATCAACTGAGATTAGCTGGAGGAGATGGTCTAATTATCACTCACAAACTTCTAACACAGCTC